AAAATCTTTCAAAAAGATAGAATAGGTCATATCTCGGCTCTCTGAGCTAAGATAGAATATGTCGCTTCTCGGCTCTGTTAGCTAAGATAGAATATGTCGCATCTCGGCTCTCTGAGCTAAGATGGAATTGGTCACTTCTCGGCTCTCTGAGCTAAGATGGAATAGGTCACATCTCGGCTCTCTGAGCTAAGATCGAAGTAATCGCTTCTCGGCTCTCTGAGCTAAGATGGAATTAGTCGCTTCTCGGCTCTCTGAGCTAAGATGGAATAGGTCACATCTCGGCTCTCTGAGCTAATTGTAAGATCGAAGTGGTCGCTTCTCGGCTCTCTGAGTTAAGATGGAATTTATTAAATGTTATTAAATGTTAAAAATTATTTTTGAACGTATCCCACACAGCATACTTTATTTGGTATATACTGAGGAATTCTAAATTGTCCCAGACTTTTAAATATATTTTTCCTGAAAGATTTGTATATTTAATGCAATAATTTAGATTTCACATAATTACTCTGTAATAATCGTATACATATTTGTATTTTTACAGTTTACCATATACAGTTAACGATGTACAACTCTGTTGTTGCGAATCGTATCAGTGAGTGATAAATTACTTTTTATTTTTAATTGACGTTGCGCATACAATAACTTCTTTGCATGTATACAAATTCTTAAAAATATACAACGTTCAACTACAAACTGCGCGCGCGAAGCGCGCGTTTTGTCATTTCTAGTACTATAAAAATGATATTCCTGACTATAATTATTTTACTATGCGATTATAGTTTCAAATATTATATATTTTTCTATCAGTGTACTTTGTTATTTCGCATTAATTGAAATACACCGTCGTATTGTGGCGCGTGCTGTTTCTATCGACATTCTACCCTCGCAAAATAGTAAAGGCTGCATAAATGAACCACCGCTCATATCCGGCTATTTACGAGAAGGTCGGGCAAGTCCGAGATCGTTTCGAATCGTTTATACGATCTCCGCGTAATTACATGCCGGGTATGTACGGGGAATTTACAAGCAGGCAATGTTACACACATGGCAGGATTGTCAAAATAACGTTTTAATCGTTGAGAAACTGCCCAAAATAAATTCAAGAAATAAATTCTCTCTCTCTCTCTTTCTCTCCCCCCCCCCCCCCCACCCCCTCCTCTTCGGGCGTGGAACCGCGCAATTGCGAAAGAGGCTTTAGAAATTTTCTCACGGCCCGTGTTTTATTAGCCGCAAGTTCGCCGATCGAGAAATGGTTCGTAAAACAATCCCGCAATAGTGTCTAATGGTAGACACGGGAGACGATAGCGTGACATAATTGTAACCATAACCGACAAAGTGGCGATCTTTCAAGTTACACGTAGAGAATTTTCTCGTAGAATTTAAAACTCCAAAACTCATGGTAGCCGTGGGACAACATTTCGAAGAATTTTATGAGACTTTTTCTGATTAATATCTGCCGCAATGAAAAATATTAATAATCCACCGCGATAAAATATAAGATATGTTTCATTAATCCTACTAAATAATAAAATTTTAAAAAGCTCTCATAAAATTCTTCGAAATCCCATGCTGTCCCACGACTACCACGATTTTTTCGCGATAAATTCTAAAGGAAAACTCGCTGTGTGTCGGTATGAAATCACGATGAAAAGATTGTTTCTTATTTTCTGATCAACGCATTTCAGTTTGTGTATATCGTGCAATTGTTGCTGATACTGCAGATAATATTATACTTATATTATAACTTCTATGTGAAATTTGTAATAGAAAAAGCGTAAGAAGTTATAAAACATTGTTATCATCTTATTAACAATGTCACAATCATTTTTCTGTTATAGGCTCTAGGTCCGATTTCCGGCTGTCACGTTAACCCGGCTGTGTCGTTCGGTTTGATGATCAGCGGAAATTGCAGTCTTCTCAAAACTATCAGTTATGCAGTCTGCCAATGTTGCGGCGCTATTGCGGGATTCGCTGTTCTCAAGGTGCGTACAATTTAAAAGTTTACCGCGACGCCTGATTCATTTTTGTTAAAAAGTCGACGAATCTAAATGCGTATTTAATAACTTCAAAATCGAGTTCCTTAACTTCTAAAAAAAGCGACCGGATTAGGTAGCAATTTACGTTTGTAACCGAGTATATTATTCAATTGAACTACAAGGACGGGGTTGCGTACATCAATCTTCATCTTCGTTACCATTAAAAGTTCAATTCCTTCTCATTTTTTTACCGGGTTGAAATTTAGAATTAAAGTCACCGACTGCACAAGTTGCACAAGTTACAAAACGCACTCGGGGAGATCGTCGGCACGTCGCGATCCAACGTTACCATTTGTTATAGCGCGCTTACGTTTCTTACACGCGCGCAATCACAATAATCGTCCGGCCGAAGCGTGAAATTGATCGTTGATAGCCTGTCATTTCGATTTGGCGCGGGAGGGGGGGGGCCGAAAGTGCCTCGTCTTGCCCGTATCAATTAAATCGCCGTTGCGCAAGGTCAAGGACCGCCTCTCCCGGCTCCTCCGGTTGACCGTACACCATTACATCAGAAACTGGTCGCGGCCGACCAGCTGGGTCACGCGTCGCGAAGGGACAGCAACGCACGTGCGTGCGTGTACGATAGTAATTTGCGTGTCTTTTATAGCCCGAATTAATTCCGACAAATAAATCGACTTCAAATACTTCGTCTTCATCTCTGCGCCGCCGCGATCTAATTTATATAGAAATAACGCTCGCGGGAAAATGGAGAACGGTACTGCTTTCGCGTCACACTGCAGTTCAGTCGTGTAAAATTAGTAGGGTTGCCGAGAAAGTGCTCTCTAAGGGCCAGTTTCACAAACGTCGGTTAACTGTTAACCAGAGTTCTGTCAACTTCCTATCTTTTTCTATTTTGTTATCTAAGAAGAGACAGAGAATCAATTAACCTTCGGTTAGCAGCTAACCGACGTTTGTGAAACTGGCCCTAAAAAGTCACTCAGTGGATCATCACTGAAAACAGCGAACAGCCGCTGATTTGCAGTTATAAGCACTGAAAATCGCAGTGGTATATTTGCACTGAAAAAAAATGTTCGCTACCGTAGCTAATCGTAGTTTGCTAAAAATATTTCGCTGCCATAACTATAAATTTCTAAAGGACAGCAAACGGTTTGCTGTCACAACTAAATATTAGCCGTCCATATTTTACAACTGAAATTTAGCTGCAACATGCAGTTATTAGCTACGGCAGCTACATTTTTTTTTTAATCAGCGACTATTCGCTGTTTTCAGCGATAATTCGCTGACTGATTTTTCGCGAGTGCGGCTCGTCTAATCGAATGTCTTCGTCTTTTCGCCCAGCTGATTATACCTAAGGAGCAGGCCGGGGACAGATTAGGCCTCACCGCGTTAGCGTTCAACGTGTCCGCGGCTCAGGGCCTAGCGATGGAAATAATTATCACGTTCCTGCTGGTGCTGGTCGTCCACGCCGTCACGGATCCCAAGAGGACCGACGTGAAGGGTTGGGCCCCGCTCGCGATCGGCCTGACGATCGCGGTGGCCCATATGGCGGCGGTGCCCATCACCGGCAGCAGCATGAACCCCGCCAGGAGTCTGGGCCCGGCCGTGATGCACGACCACTATGATCATCTGTGGATTTACTGGGTGGGTCCGCTAATCGGCGCCGGCGTGGCCGGCGCCGTGTACAGGATGGGTCTGAGGGCCAACAAGGAGGACAACGAGGGCTCGTACGACTTCTAGGGGCGACCTCTGAATCCCGCGAAAACCAGAGGTCTTTCGGATGTAAATAAAGAAGTAGAATTGTAAGGACGGCGTGGTGATGACCGTGAGGCGGTTTCGCATTCTTCGTCCGTTGCATTTAATAAGATTATATTCGCGAAGGAACACAACTTGCAGGGAGTATTTCTGACATTGAACAAGTGGAACGCTGCGGATTAAAGGGGATCGAAGTACTAAAGTCGATGAGTTCGGGGGAAAAAATTGTTGCGGTCAATATTACCCCAGAGTGTAAATGTACGCTCGGTAATTTGTATTCTTTCGTATTACGTCGTTTTAATCTCGTGTTCATTATATTACTTACATTCAGTAGCAACTGGTGTCGTCTGGTTCCTTATCTTTGGCGTACCGCACCTCTTTAATCGACAGCCCCGAGAAGCAGAAATACATTGACATTATTGTATAATACACAACGTACAAAAATAATGCAGAATATTAATATGTATTTCGGTAATATAGTTACTACCCACATAGCACGTAATGCCACAGTAAAATATATCGGAAATATTACTGTAATATTACTGCAATGTTATAATAAGACTGATATATTATGTAATATTATGTGCTATGTGGGTATATATTATCGCGGAATAAGATATGTGTATGATATTATCAGTATGTGTATCACGTCAGATTGATGTTCTTCCTCAGAGATTCCCTTTCTCGTCTCAAGAAATTAGAATGTTAAAGTATTCTCCTAGATATATCGTGCGAAAGAAGAAATTTCTTCAATCATCACCATCAATGCACTGTCACTGTGACACTGACATAACTCGTGATCATCTATCAATCAACACCTTTGTCTCGTATGCATCCTGCATCCGCTATTATTGTACATCGCCAATCTGAGTTTTGTATATATTGTTAATTTAAGGTAGCTCACGTAGACCGAATGTATTATCTATCAATCTAAAACGTAGTGTGTAACGTAGTTTTAATTAGTTTACAGCGCACCGACATGGATGACATTAACAAATATATTCATTACTGTTAACTACCGCGCGCGTTTTGATTTCTACAGATGCTCGTCCCTGTCTAAATAATACCAGCAGTTTATAAGCTTTGAAAGCGCAGCTTTGGGAATCCGTAAGAGGAGCGAAGAGTAATGGCAGGTGTGATCTGGTTGCTCTAATCCGGACATCGGTAAAGTTACATTGTCGTCTACGAGGCGAGGCGTTACACGGTCCCGCCTTGCCGCGGGTAGACAGGCACCCACATTAAGATCGAAAGTGTCTCAAAATAGCAGACGCCGAAATAGCCGCGCGTAGTTCTCGCTAAAGTTGGGCGCACCACCAGAAGCCAGTAACTTCGAGTCGTCGACCAGGGACATGCCCCTGGAGTGCGTTCTCCAATTAGTGATTCAAATTAGGTTCACATCATTTCTATGCGTGATTTTACGTAAGAGATTAAATTCGAGATTAATCAAATTCGAGAAATTGATTAATTGCAAGAAATCAATAAAGAAGGCTCGACAGGGTAGAACGTAAAAGTAAACATTTATGGTTGTTACAAATAATAGTTACCCAAATAATCCCGTTAATTAATATTAGAAGATATGTGTTTCAACTAATGATTCTCATTAATTTTTGTTAAATATGATTTTGCGCATATTTAATAAAATTAAATAAATAAATAATTGTTAAAATTGTTTAAATATATAAATAATACTTCCCTTAAAATTCAATAAAAATAAATATAAAATATATTACTATATAAAGCCATACTCTAGTGTTCTAGTTTTTTTAATTACAATTATGCTGTGAAATATTAGAAAAAAAATACATAAAAAATCATGTCGGCAAATCAACCGGAAACGGAAATCGGTGGATTTTTCCGCTCAAATTTGATAGCAGTGAGAAAGGCGATTCGCCAGCAAGACTTCAAGAAGTTCGCTGCCTTGGAATCAAACGCCGAGAGGGTGGCTTTCGTTTTGAGCTACTCCGAGGCCCACCAGTTGCCCCTGGACGTAGAGAGACCCATGGTCAAGGATAGTGACGGTGCTATTCGATTGAAGGACGTCGGGAACAAATTTTTTGGTCGCGGCGAATTCACGAAGGCCCTGGAGGTGTATTCAAATGCAGCTCTTCTAGCACCGTCGACAGGTAAATATGTATGATGCTCGTTACAATATATGTTTAGTTAGTGCGTATAATTTATATCTGCATAATTTAACAAATCTATAATCAATATCTATATGTAATAATTACATGGTTGGAAAGTAACTCGTTACTTTCCTTGTAACGAATCTTCTTTTTGGTAACTGTAACTTAACTTCGTTACTTTTACCCCATCTGTAACTATAACTTAACTCAATTACATTTTTTCGATAGCCAGTAACTAATTTAATAGTTACATTAATAGTTACTTTATATATTTTTTAAACCTCCACAAATCGCATTAGGCCTTGCCTTTGCGCATAAACGCCTCCCTAGTAGCATAATTTATTGGCTATACATTGGTTATGGTGGGAGTGCATTGGCCAGTATTTTCTCAACATAACGCCAATATTGGTCATAAAATAAATGCAAAAATACTACCGATGTTGCACCTAGATTATTATTATTTAATATTGGATTGATGTTGAAATTGTATTGGCCAAGATTGCCCAATAACATTGTAATATTGAATATGAAATATAAGATGTAATTAGAATAGAAACTAAAAATTATCTAGATAATACGCTTATTGAAGAAATTATCCGTCGTCTCCACAGTTTTATAAAATCCGAAAATCTCCGCTGCAATTATCCTCGCGTATATTTATCACTGCTAATTATAAGATTGTGATTTGTGATTATCGAACCGGAGAATGTAAAACTGGATTCTAAATGTTTAGAATTAAGCGTTATCCTGGCGAATCGCTCGGCCACGTTGCACCACTTGGAGCATCACGAGTACGCGTTGGAGGACATCGAGGAGGCCTCGCGACTCGGTTACCCGAAGGATCTTCTCTACAAACTCGAAGAGCGACGGGCGAAGTGCTTCTTGGGGCTGAAAAGGCACGACGAGGCGGTCGAGGCGTTCAGACGAGCTCTCCAGGCCCTGGACGACGCTAGGATACCCTTGGAGCGTAGGCAGAAGTTCGAGATGGACATCAGGGTGATGCTCGCTGTGATGGATAAGGGCAAGCGGCTCAACGAGGCCGCCGCGAAGAATCCTCCGCGAGCTCACAGCAAGCAAAAGCTCAACGCACATGCGGAGGACAAATTTATTTCCGAGAGGAAGAGGAATTCTCTGTATCCCGCCTGTAGTAAAGCGGTGGAGATCAAGGATGACGGGGGTGACGTGGGTAGACACGCCGTGGCGACCAGGGAGATATCACCCGGCGAGATCGTGATCGTCGAACGACCACACTGCACGTCTCTATTGACGGAGAACAGGTAGGTAAATCGCAACCAGCTCGGTCACATTTTTGGAAATCCACTTGTCAAGTTATTTATCAACGCTCTTTCATGTTCAATTGCGCTCTTACCGGTGAGTTTACCGAGACATAATTTAGGATCCGACAGGACCTGCAACATCAACGATTTATGAGCTCAAGGTTTCGTAACCATTGTCGGGAATGTATTTTATCTCGGATATAAATTGCGCAATTTTTTTATTTTACTATCGCTGCTGCGTTTTCTCCCTTATTCTTTATTTTCCCCCTCTCTCTTTCTCTCTCTCTCTCACGCAAACCGTGTAAAATTACGTCGTAACGAAAATGACTTTCAAGGCTCACGCATTGCCACCTGTGCTTCGTGAGGATATTTGTGCCGATGCCGGCGGCTTGTCGGACCTGCAGCTGCGTCGCGTACTGCAGCCGCCGCTGCAGAGATGCGGACGCCCAAGTGCACTCGCGGGAGTGCAAGCTACTGCCGGTCCTGTGGCACTCGCAAGCCTCGGTCACGTGCTTCTTAGCCCTAAGGGCGATTACGCAGAAACCTTTCGAAGAAACCATGGGATTGAGGGAACGCCTGAGGAATCCCGGAAGTGCGTCCAAGATTTCTGCGGAGAATCCGTATCGAAGCGATGACTACGCGAATACTTTTTACAATTTAGGTAAATAAATGAGTAAAAGTAAAAAAATACGAGTATAAACGAGTATAATAGTATTCCTCCTAAACAACTGTGTGGTTGTACACAATTAGAATGAAAAAGGATAAAATTCCAGATCATTTAAGTTTCGCTTGTTTAAAATTAAATCTCGATTGTACAAGTGTTCTATCGAACATGTTTCTCACGTAAGAATATCGAGTGGACTTTCACTTCTTTACAACTCTAGTACAATCGTGAAAAATTTTACATCGAATTTTTTTTAAGATAGTTAATTGATTCCCTTCCCTCTTTGGTCAGTAAATTATTCGAGGGTATAAATTATTTTTTGTTCGACATCTAATTTGTCCTTTTTACATTGCGAGTTTAAAAAAATATTTTTATTCCAACAGTCACCCACGAAGACAAAAGACTGCCCGAGGATATTTTTCACAGAGCCTACATGGCAGCCTGGCTGTTCAGATTATTAAGAGTCGGCGAGTATTTACCAGAAAATGTGAGAAGCACTGATTCAGCGGACAGCAAATTATCAGACGAGGAATTATTTATCGCGGAACTGATGCTGCACAATTTGCAGTTATTGCAATTCAACTCGCACGAGGTAAGGAATGACGCATAACGCAACATTATAATTCGCTCGATCGTACTATATATTACCTTCGATTTGTTATTCCTTATTACCTCTAATAAAGCGATTTTTTAATTACACCAGTATAGATATATTGTAAACTTGTATAATTATTGTTTTATCTATAAATTGAGCACTTTTTAATTGGAGTAACCGCGACTTATCATGGATTTTATAATAAAATAGTACGACATTGTTTCGACGTCGATCGACGAATCATTTCTCATTGGGTGCTGATCGTATTCCTCGTGTTTTAGATTTCAGAATTGACAAGGCTGAAGGAGGAGAAAATACTTGCCAAAGCCAAGAGTGTGTTTATAGGCGGTGGCGTTTACCCTACGGTGGCGATGCTGAATCACTCGTGCAATCCTGGCGTAATTCGGTAAATAATAAATGTACTCTATTCACCGTCGTTAAACTATATTATTATTACTAAACTGAGCTAAAAATGTAAATCAAGTTATTTCATCGGCACCACCATGATCGTTCGCGCTATTCGCACAATCGGCGCGGGCGAAGAGATCTCCGAAAACTACGGTCCTATCTTCACAACCATGCCCGAGAGCGAGCGGAAAAGAAAATTGAGGGTGCAATATTGGTTCGATTGCAATTGCGAGGCATGCTCGGGACACTGGCCGCTTCTCGACGAATTGGATCCAACAGTACTCAGGTATTTATCAAGATCTCAGATATTAATGTTATTTCAAATATACCTAATTATTATCATAGCGTTGTAATGAAAATATTAGCTTGCAGTAATATCGAATGTTACTAAATAGTAATTATTAATTATATTGAAATCACTGTATAATTGAGTAAAGGCCTGTGTCCAGGATGGTAGAACTTGGACCAACTGCTAGCATAGTGGACACAGACCTTAAAACGACCATTAACATATCCAAATACGAAAGTACTTTTTAAACAGAATACCACAAAAACACAAGATATTCTCTTTAATACAAGATTAAATTAACAACTACCAAGCTGTCCTATTCTATTAAAAACGTATCGTAAACATCATTACATCGTTTCGTTCTTCCAGATTTAAATGCGAGACTGGACCGTCATGTGGTAATGTGTTGCTAGTACGAAGCGATACGAACGAGTTCATGATCGGATGCGCGAAATGCGGCAAGAGCACGAATATCCTGAAGGGCCTAAGGGTCCTGCAGGATACAGATGCGCTTTTTAGAGTTGCATCGACAAATCTTGAGGAAGGCCGAAACGAGCAGGCATTGAAAGCGTACCTGGAGATCCTGAAGCTACTGGACGAGACCTTAGTGTTGCCTATCAAAGATTATCACGTCTGTCAACAAGGGGTCAGATTGTGCTCCCTTGCCTTAGGCAATACAGCTTACATATAATTTCATCAGCCAACTATCAAATATTTATCTTTCTACTGCAAAATAAACAAACGCGAATTAATTCTGCAACTAACGTAAATACAACAAATTTTAACCCAGAGAACATTATGTCTTCTTAAAGACGTCTTGGATATAAATTGGAATAAATTTTCAGGAAAGGAAAAGCATATACGCACACACTCATAAACATATACATATACGTACTTAGGCAATTTTGTAATATTCACACTTGCTGTTTATTAATATTATCCATCGTCAAGGCAAAAAAAAAAAGATAATTGTGCAAATTTCTCGCGCACGCGTTCACAAGTCATGAAAAGTTAACTCGACCGAGTTTTACACACTTACACGTTTATTTGTTTTGGATTTCCAATACATATACAAAACGAACAATACAAGGAAACAATTAATTTGCACTCTTTTTCAATCAAACAGGAGCTATTTGACGATTCACCTATAATTATTGATATTAATTATAATCAAAAATCTTAGAAGTAGTGACAAATATTTTGATGCTGTATAACTAACACATACTTTAGTAGGATTAAACAATACAATGCTGAAAATTCTCTCTGATGATGCGTGCTATAACGTGCATCAATTTACCGTTTATGTGATACGCGTACATATATAATAGTGAAACGAGAAATCTAGCTTACAGACTAAATTTGCATAGCATTCAGAAAATCCGCTGAAATGTCTTTTATTCCGCTTTCCGTTACATTTTTAGCATTGTCGTAATTTCAAATACGAGCGTGTAGCGTGTATGTATGTGTGATCACACTCAAGTTTTATTATATGTACATACAAAATTGTTTCTCGTTTTATCTTTGTCTGTTCTTCCATCCAGACACAAAACGGTCCGATTTTTCTCTCTTTTTCTCTCTCTTTCTCTCTTTACCCCTCTCTCCCCCTCTCCCTCTCTCTTTCTCTTGAACTTTTAGCATCTAACTGCAATTAGATAAAGAATATAAGCTTAAACAAAAGTATTATGGCGTAGGTATATTTTTCTCTTTTTTTTTGTCGCTTATATCGCAAGAGAGGATATTTCCCTCTTTCACGATAAATTTTCATAACGCGCGACCGTAAAATTCTCGACGTGTCGTATAAATAGTAGGGGATCTTTTTCGTTTGATCTATTTAATAACACCAATTTTCCATACCAATAGAGCGCTCAGAAGCGCATTCAAGTATCCGAATGCTCTTTCTCTTTATTGACTTTGTTATTACATTGGTATTTTGGTATTTTCACTGATTGCAAAAAATTTTGTACTTTTGGTCGCCTCATATAGAGGAAGTTGGAAATGATGTTTCTGCTCGTTTTTAAAATCTTTTAGCAGGCAGCAACATATTAATGCGTGGTCACGACTGTCATTGTCAGCACTGGGGGAATACGAAGCGAGGAGAAATATATTAATACCGTCTGTCACGGGAATCCGAACGTGAGCGGCGATCTCGGCTGCGGCTTCGGCTCAACGATCTCCTGCGTGGACTGCGAGATCTCGACCTAAAAAGTTAAAGGTGGTTTGATATCACTTTCATTTTGAGATAGCAGACAGGGTTATTAGAACATGTCTCTCCGCTCCATTACGAACCTTGCAAATAATTACAATTGTCGCAAATAAATAATAATATTAACATTGTAATATCTTTTAAACAATTATTTCATAAAATTAATATTCTGAGAAAAATTATATTAATTAAAACGATGAACAAGCGATCGTTTAAAGCGCACTTTTAATTGCTAAAGTAATAATAACACTCAATAATTTAGTTTCGACTAACATTGATCGCAATTGTAATAATCATTATTCTTCTTTAGAACGTCATTTAGTGACTAATAATAGCGAGATATTGTAATGTTTTTATTCTCAAATTAAATTACTAAAATAAATGTAAGTTGCTAATTTATTCTCAAATTAAATTACTAAAATAAATGTAAGTTGCTAATTGAATAATACAACTTTCGTCCTCCTAACTAATAATACTAGTGCAATTGTGTAATTTGTCATTTCTTCGCAATAATCACTTATTCATCGTTACAACAAAGTACAAACTTGCAATTTAAACAAAATTACGACATAGAGCTGTTCGAGATGGAGCGAAGCGGTGCGATGGAACACAGGTACGAAAAATCATCGCAAGGCAACTGTAAGAGAATTAGGATTATCTAGTTCCTATTTTTACCTAAAGGGTGATGTATTAAAACTATATAGTTAGACACGATTAATAATGAATTAATATAGAATGACGTCTCACCAATCGAATGGAAACCAATAAAAAAAAATAGAGGATTAACTTTAGTAGAAAAATCATTAAATTTTATCAGTAAATGTTACATCTCGATGTATATCAATTTTTTTATATATTATGCACGTCGGCCGGGAGTTCTCTGATTCGATTAAATATTATTCATTATTTATTTTTTAAATTTAATTTTCACAAACAATAATTTTACTTTTTAATCAATTCCTTCGAAATCTTTGTTTTGTCTACAGATGACAGACTACTGTCGTCAGAACGATCATAAATTTTCGATAGCATTAGACAGAACTCCTTGCCGAAATGACCACAAATCCAAAACAAACATCGTAATAAAGTAAAAAGATATATATATATATTTTTTAAAAAAACAAAATAGAGATAAAGATAAAAAATCTTTGAAAATCGGTGAAATACCAGATATGTGAACATGTACTGGTAGTTGGTGGTGGTAGTTGGTTGGTGGGTGGTGGTGGGATGGTGTGTAGTAGGTGGTGATCATTTCGCTTATTTTGCGTGATCATTTCGCTCGGAGTCGAAGGTCGAGAAGATCTCTCGGTGGCAACTCTCGCGCGCTGTTGTTGTAGCGGCTAACACCGTAATTGATGGTCGGCGAGTAGTGGCAGTAGCAGTAGAAGTAGCAGTAGCGGTAATACTAGTGGCAGTGGCAGAATAGAAACGTCGGTCTCGAAACGACGAACGGTCGGGAAGACAGTCGATCGTAGTCAAATGGAGAGTCGCGCCGGCGAACAGAATTACTGTACAGACGAGTCAATTCTTTTTTTTTTTTTTTAAATATACTTTGCATCGCGATTGTGGCTCGTTCACGAACTGGTGGTGGCAGCCGGTCGTGGGTGAACATTTTTCTCACGGTGGCGAATTTTTGTTTTTGGCGATTGATTCGATGTGTGCTGCCGTCCCCCAGGCTAAAGCTGAGACGAAGAGTCGAAGAAGGTGGATCACAACAACACCCGGTGGTCGGTCGGTCGGTCGATTGATCGGTTGGTGGTTGGTGGTTGGTGATGGTGGTGGTTGGTGGAAGAGTAGTAGTAGTAATAGTAGTGGTGATCGAAGGGGAGAGTCCCGCAGTGGAGCGACGGGCGATTTTTTTTTCTATTTCGGTTCAAGACGGTTTTTTGCGGTGCAACGACGGCGGACGGGGGGAGGGGGACAGCAACGAAAAAAAGCAACGTTTTTGGCTCTTTTTTTCTGTTTTTTTTTCCGAAGGTGGCAGTCTCGGGCACTGGCGGTACTCCGGCAGCGGCGACGACGCACGGAAACTGTTGTTTTGCGGTTGTTGTGCCGTTGGGTGCTGTGTGCAACACCACAACGCACAACATCGACGGGCGACGTGACGTGACGTGACGTGACGTGACCGTGACGTGACGTGACAGTCGTACGGACGGCTTCCTATATATTCGGTGACTTGGTGACTGATGGTGACTTGGTTGGGAAGTTAGTGGGCAGGCAGGCATATTTTTTTTGTTCAGTTTGGTTCGATTGACGATTGCGAGACTGACGATTCGCTTTTTTTTTTTGGTTCGCGTATACGTATACGCTTTTTTTTCACGGCGGCTGTAGAAGTAGTAGTAGCAGTAGTAGTAGTAGTAGAAGTAGTAGTAGTAGTAGTGGCGGGGAGACGAGCAGAGCTAGGAGCTGACGCTGGAATCTGCAAACGTCAGTTTTAGCAATATAATCATCAACGTTATCATACTCCTGGCCACTATCGCGTATCTCTCAACGTTATTTCTCACAATTCTTTCCGAGCGAGAACTCTCGTGGAGAGAGGGAGAAAAAAAAGTCCGCGAATATCGAGGCTGAACAATTGCACGCGCTCTCGCTTCTCGCCGTTCTCACCGAGATCGATTCTCTTTGCGTTCTCCGGTTTATCCTAGACTGCCCACTCGAGTACGCACGACAGGAAAAAAAAAGAAAAAAAAAGAGAAAAGAGAGGAGATATACATATATTATATATATCTCTCTCTATGCTCCGTGCTGATCGACTCGGAATATCTAGACATGTGATGGATGTATACACCCGTTTCCGTACGCACCACGTTCTCGTCGCGACGCATCAAGCATGTGTTAACTCTCTCTCGAAGTGAAAAATGATAGATAAGTTCGGGTCACACATCGCCTGGACATTTAAATTATTGCGTGCCTCATACATGCCGCGGTGCGTGTGATGAGAAATGATGAAAGCAGTGCTTGTTTATCTCAACTTCCTTCGGTATCAGAAGCCCCGACGTTTCCCGAGCAGCGAAAATATATCTGCACTTGAGAGTAAAAGATATATTACCGTTCAACAGAATAAGAACGTCTTATCTTCTCTTCTTTTCGATAAATGGACAATTAACTGAAGAGTCTCGATAAACGAAATTAACAAGTAACGAGAACTTTCCTTTTTTTTTAATAAAATCTCTAATTACTCTTATATTGGCGAACATTGAAAATTTATTCGAAACATTTTTCTTATCAAGAAGAAATTGTTGTTCGCTATTGCCATTATTACTAGAGATCAATCCGTTTTCGCAATTCTATATCAAACTCCTATCACATTCTTTAAAAAAAAAAAAAAATGCTAACGTCTCTTATGAAGCTACGTGTACGATTGTATACTTTCCCCTGTTACTGTATCACACCTCTCGCCAATAAGAAATTGTCATTCGCGAACTGTAGACATCGAGATCTCCCATTTTGAAGTAAAGGGTAAAATTGACAATGACAACAAGTTCACACGTCCGAGATGCAATTTCGTCGCTTCCGACGCTACCACGCGTTCCTGAGATCTCGCCTCCGCTCAGTTATCACATCGCTTCTATCGAATCCCTCCTCATTTTTGTCTACCATCGCATAGTTCGTTCAGTCCTGTCCCTCCCACTCTCAACACGATTGCCGATCAAGCACTAGCTTTTTTTCTTTTTCTTTCTTTTACCACCGCTCGGACATCCGCGCTGCGCCGAAGTTATGATCAACCGGTCTCTAAAACGTTCTTTAGTTCCCCGATTACAAGTTTCGACCGCTATGGGGGAGAACGGTGACGAAAAATAAACAGCGAGATCGATTTTCACGTGGAAATTTTATTAAGTGCGAATATCTATTTTCTCTCGCCAATTCCTTGCCGATTAAACTCAATTCCGTCAACGTTCTCCGCCCTCAAACGCCTCTAGCGAACGTAGTGATTACCATCTCGTGATATATAAATACGTGCAATATGTACGTATACTACACGCCGTGCAAGCAACAGTTATACCTACTGATCGCCCATCCCATTTCGTCAGGGCCGTAGATTCTGAAAACTTTTGCGAAGCCAGGTACGAAAAAAAAAATAATAATAAAAATCGAACACAAAACGAGGGAGAACCAATCGATTACCTGGAGCAACGGCTGGGCGACGATCTCCGCGGGCTTCTCGACCGGGATCTACAAAAGATTAAGAATAACTAACGTATGTCTGCCAGGTGTTTCGCCCGGGATCGCCTCGCGTCTCACTTTGAGAGATTTTCATTTGTCTTAGCACCTGAAAATTGCGGTCGACGGCAAAAAAAACTAGGACGGAGAGAAAGAAGCGAGACGAATTCGGTAAAGAGGAGCCGGGGAAGTAAAAGGACCGGGAGAGTCTTACCTCAAGCGACCAAGGGATTTCCTACGGGGGCTGCGCGACCTGGACCTACAAATTTGTTAAAAAAAAAAAGAAGATATATCGTACGTGAATCCGATTGTTCGCTAAAGCGTATGAACGAAAGCATGACAATGGGGAAGAGATAGACATGAGCGGTGATAGACCCAAGACAGTCGAGTACTAAGAAAGAGGGACTGTAAGGAATCTTGGATTTAATACACGCGAGAAATATACGCTTCACATACACATGTGACGTATATAATGAATATCTGTAGTGTGATCACGCAGTTTGTGATTAGAAGTACGAATTCAGATAATTGAATTAAATTCATACAATGTTAACACGTTAATTGTTATCAACGTCAGTGTTTTCTTGACCATGGCGTATTTACTGCTGGCGACATTGAAGAATATTCTTATTAGTTAATTGTTATGTCTTTTAGGCGTTTAAAAATAAATACGGTCCATAGTGCAAACTCCAGAATGTTCTGAAAAAAACCCGCATAGACTTTACGGAAAGTGGGTCTCGGTGAAGTTGACTTTGCCATTTTGTACTTCAAGTGATGCTGACCAAAGGTTACCATTGCCACAAATTAATTCTTGAAGTACAAAATGGCAAAGTTTCAGCCAACTTCACCGAAATCCATTTTCCACAAGGTTTGTGCGGGATCCTTTACATCCTGATACATTAGATGGATTCAATGTAGTTTGTCAACCTATGAACACTGCGCGAGACATTTAATTGGCTTTAGAGTGTAATAGTTCCCGACTTATTCCTCACAATCCTTTGCCTTAGTACTAGAAACTGGTATTGGGCGGTGCGATATTTCCCTGTACGTGCGAACATGCAGCGTGGATTTAGCCGTGCTCTGGCTAATCCCCGGATTTTACCTTCCATCATACACTCGTATTCCATGCAGACTTAACATTTATAGCGGTGTAATCTCTACGAGAGGCATCGTGCGGCCTTAACTTAAAATTCGAAAGGTCGACAATCTCAAACTGCGAACTCGCGATCGTGAACGAGGAGGAGGAGGATTAGCCAGACACGCGACAACGAAGAAAGAAAAAAAAAGAGAGACACGCTGTATAAAATATATATAAATATGCAAACTAAATTATATGTATATACATATATACATATATGTATACCGATATTCCTAGGCAGACATAAGGGAAAATATCGAGTATCGCGATGGTGATGTGCACGAAAAAAATATTCACTGGGGGGAAAGGGGAAAAAAGAGACTGCTCGTGCATCGCTCGTTTTCGCTGAGCGTACTCTCGTTCCGAGGGCGAGAGGAGAGTGAATACCTACGTTGGCGAGGAACGCTTCGCCGTGTCGCAGCTCTAACGCTCGTTTTCGCTGTAAAGTTCGCGAACGCTCGCGAGAAGGCACAGGAATCTCTTACCTAGAATATCGCGGACCTGGCCTGCGACCACCGCCGCCGCGGCGACTTCTCCCAGATGACATTTCGACTCTCACTCTAGTACCGCAGCAACGTCTGAAAGATGAGAAATGTGCAATTTCATATTCTCAGCCCCGAGATCTTGCTGTATCAAAATTATTTTTCTCCCTTCGAACGAGAAAAACCAAGAAGGGATCGCGTCAATTTTGGAGATAGTCTCGTCAAACGTGATCAGAGCTCTTTAAAGGCTCCTGAATACTTTCTTCTTTAACTTAAGAGGATCCTAGTCTTCTTTTTTACCGTCACATTCGAATATAGTTTTTACGCTTGTAAATCTGTTTATTTGCTTTTATATCACAAAATAATACCGGGACAAGTTGCGAACTGCATAGCAGAACATTTTCATACTTAAAACACTCAGTTCAGAAATCTAAAGCCTCGTCTACATAGAAGTCGTAAAGTCGTAGTTGTAAGAATAGTCGACTGTGATTGGTCAATTCTTATGTGTCTGACTGAATTGACCAATCGCAGTCAACTATTTTTACGACTACGACTTTACGACTTCTATGTAGACGAGGCTTTAAGACTTAGCGTCTTGCGTTTATTGTAGAATAAACTTAATGCGATGTAAAGTCTTGATGTAAAGTAACTATTAATGTAACTATTAAACGAAGTTTGAGTTACCATAAAAGTAACTGTAACTTCGATCCCTGGTTGCATGTATTTGCAATTTGCAACAGTGGAAAATAAAACATAAATGCAAGGTACCTGCGATAGGTGAGACTCTAGTGTAAACTGGTGCTGTTTATTACTTGTAATTCATGGAGACAAATTAATTTTTGGAAAATTGAGACGGGAAACTGATAGTCAACCCAACTGGTTACTTTATTAATTTATTACAAAACGTTTCGACCTATTCGACCCTATTTTTTGGACCACTTTTCAAGTGGTACTAACGATAACTTAGATTCATTTTTGGAAGATGTATAATGTGCTAAAGCGATTTGAGGCGCTTTTGCATCCAAATATCCTGTTACTTATAAATGTAAAGTTGCAATTTGTAGATATTTTTACAAAAAAATAAATGTTTCAACGAAGATATAAAAATTTCTACAAATTTCTATTTCAAGTCAATTTTTTGTAGTTATTTATAGAAATTTTTCCGCTAGGGTTTTGGGTGCGTTCCGAATTAGCTATATTTCTACTTACAAAGTTGGTACCACTGTAACTAACTTGCGTAGGTTTCGTAATGTATCAGCTGAATTCGTTTCTTGTGTTTAATATAAGAGAATAAATTTCATTAATAATATGTCTAATACCATTAATTCCAAATATAAATTGGATATATATTGTGAAACCGAAAAGAAAATGCTTACCTTCGTAGTTTCGAAAGAAACTTATTTGCATGCTAAAAGCAGTAAGTAAACTAAAAATAGTTTTCATTATTTTCAATACCTGTTTATTAGTTAGTCTAAATATTAGTCTAATAAACAAGTATTGAAAATAATGAAAACCATTTCTAGCCCACCCACTGCCTTCAGCCTGCAAACAAGTTTCTCTCGAAACCACGAAAGTAAACATTTTCTTCTCGGCCTCACAATATATGTCCAATTTATATTTGGGATTAATTGTATTAGACATATTATTAATTAAATTTATTCTCTTACATTAAACACAAGAAACGAACTCAGCTGATGCATTACGGAACCTACGCAAGTTAGTTACAGTGGTACCAACTTTGTAACTAGAAATATAGCTAATTCGGAACGCACCCTTTATGGGCGTTTTCCAGCAAGGGCACAGTGTAACACAGTGAATCGTTTCATCCTTGTTTAACATTGGCAAACAAGGATGTGATGATTCACAGTGTTACACTGTGTCACATTGTGTCCTTGCTGGAAAACGCCCAATATGTCTATGGTTTGCTGTTGCAGCATCGATCAATCGATGATAATTACTAGAAGAAGATGCAGATGGAACCGTTTGATCGTCTCACTTTGTCATTCGAGTCGGTATTCCAGCAGAGTTAACTGATCACGACTGTGGACACGCGGAATCGGCACTGCCAATTTCGCAATCACAACACACGAGGTCCGAAAATTGCAAACTTTTACCGCATTCGTTTCGCAAATCTGTCTGAAACGCGTCTAGGCGGGTAGACATTAATAACGCCGCACAAAGATCAGTTTGCTCTCCAAAGATGAAACCCAGCCCGAACTGTAGTGAAACTGTAGTGAAATCGTAGGGAAACTGTAGTGAAACTCACGTCCCATCCAGTCCCCTCACTGCGTCCTCGGCATCTCGCGGGTCTTCAAACTCCACAAATGCGAAGCCAGGTGGATTTCTGGCTACCCACACATTTCTCAATGGGCCATACTTACTAAATGCACTCTCGATCTCGTGTTTACTGGCACTACTGCCTAGATTCCCAACGTAAACCTTGCACGACAGATCCCACTCACGGTAACGAGACATCTCCAGCCTGCAAATACGCAATAGCATTAGGGACATGCGTAATCTAAAGATTTCTGTCCTGCTGCAACAGCTAACATGACACGCACGCGACGCGAGTGCGGTACAAATGTAATGCAAGTATAATAAAAATGTGGAGAAACAGAGACTAGGTTTATGTATTCTCAGCGTAAATGAATTCTCAATAGAGTTATAAAATGTAACCCAACAGAGACACACTTGGTGTGTACTAAACTAGTAATATGCATAGCGTAAGAACCGTCCAAATCAACGAGCATCGAGCATTGAATCGTCATATTGATTTAAATAGCATACTATTGGCCCAGATGGTCATAGGACCATTGCACACAAAATTGCATAGCTGCATGTGCATAGCATGAAAACCGTTTAAACCAATGAACATCGAGCATTGGTTTGAGTCGTCATATCGATTTACATAACATGCTCATTTGTCCAGGTAGTCTTATGCTATGCATATGCAGCTATGCAATTTTGCGTGCGACAACCCTAAACCTCTAAACAAAAAGACTGATGTGGAAGGACATGGAAACCCAACCACGAGACAGGGTAGTGTCTCTGGCACGAAGTTCAAGCCACCCAAGAAAACCCCTCATGAGTGGTCACGACTCTTAGCGCTAAGAAATACAACGCGAAGAGGAAGAGGAGAAAAGAAACTTGAATAAAGAAAAGAAAATTTTGCCAGTTATGGTGAAATAATAAAGTATACTGGATATTTTATATGTATATATATATATAGTTTTATACACATATATGTGTGTGTGTGTATAAAACATTATATATATATATATAATATATAATTACAAATATATTGAGAAACAAGTTCATTTCGACAAATAATCCGGATAATTGTGGCAACAAAGTGACAATACAAAACCATATCTCTCCATTATTGGCCACAAATACCTCAGCGGATAAGACAAAGAGACCCAGCCTAAAACATTCTAAAAAGAGCGGTAAAGGGGGGGGGGGGGAAAGGGAGGAAACAAAAATCACGTCGCGTTACTCCAAAGCGCCAAAACTCACGCGCCTCGCCACAGCGCCTCGCCACAGCCCCTCGCCATAGCGCCTCGCCGTTTATTGATTTTTCCCATCTCCCGCCACCTCCGCTATTCGATACCCCGTAAACGATACGCGCATTTTTCCAAAAATTTCTCGCACCGAATAATATCAGTACCTCCGCTTTCCTCCCGGCCCCTTCACCATTTCGTGCACCGGCTTTCCCGCCATTTTGTCGCTAAGATTCCGTAAGGTCACCGTCACGCAGCTCTCCGGCTATTTCCACCGACCGTGAGTTACGGCCAATCGCAAATCCACGTAATAATGGTGCGCTAGACAACTACTTACCTACGGGAGAACCGTTGTACGGGAGATAATTAACTCGGAAAGATGAAATGGTCTCGTTCTCCGCGATACAACACAAATGAGACAGTCCCCCCCAGACTTTCGCGGATGAAGTGAACTGCAGCGAAGCTCGGCATCAACGCTTCAACCCCCCCCCCCCAGTCCACTTTGTGCGCACGCGTGATGAGGACGTTGCGTTCACAAATGTCCACCAACCACGTCTCAAGACCTATGTCCATGGGTGCTTTCGCGACGTAGATCAAAATGATCCGTGCTATGATTGGTCAAATCTGAAATTTCGTAGCATCACAATGGTCTAGTTTACACCGTTAAATCGGTTGGTGCGCACATCAAGTTTGGTACGGACTAAACATTTGATACATCCCTGTTTACACCATTTCGTCTCAAAACAGGTTAGGTTAGATTTTTAATCTGGATAAAGTAAAATCAAACTTCTACCACAATATGCTAAACTGAACCATACTTCTAACCTCAATCTAGCAGGAATGCCGGGTATAATACGACCCGAATCGTAATCAAGCGTTTACAGCACCCTAAAATATTTTGATACGCGCACCAACTTGGTCTGATACTAGTGATTCAGGAGTATCAGACCAGAGCGCACTAAAGTAATCCGCGAGCGTTTACATCGAGCGAATCAAGCGATTTGATACCGATATAGTATTTGGTACGCGTACCAAACGATCGGTGTAAACTAGCTCATTGAAATTTTATTCAATGAAATTCCAGATTTGACCAATCATAGCACGGATCATTTTGATCCGGATAATTTTGATCTACGTCGCGAAAGCACGTTTACAGAATTCCCGTACAGGTTCTAGCTCCAAGAAATGTGCCACCAATCAACCTGCATGTTACGCCAACCCTTAACCGCGTCCCTGGTTCTCATCGAATATCCCGGAAGCACCCGAGACTCCCGAAAGCGTCCCGGAAGGGGATGCATCCGGAATGCCTCCCGGTATCGCGGATCGCGTTACATCTGAAAATAAACGCGCGTGTTCTCTCTCTCCCCGTTGTATCTCCCGCGCTCCTCGTCAAACGATTATGGACGTATGATCGCATCGCGGATCACACGGATTAAATAGGAATGGAGTGAACGGTGACCTCCATCGAAAAGGAAGCGCGTCCGACGTCATCCGCCCGCGGGAGAGCGAGAGCCGTTTCGTCGTTCAGTCGCGATCGCGACGTGCGGAAAGTGATTCCGATTTTTCTTTCATCCCGCTGCTCGCGGTGAAAGGATCGTCTCCCGCAAGCGCCGCGCACATACGTGCCAACGCGGAAGAAGAACCAGTCGCGAAGCTGCCCCGCGCGCGCGAAATGGTTGGGATTCTCCGAGATACAGCGCCGAGGTAGTTGGTTCGCGAGTATCGTGCCACGGGGACGTGACATCTCGGGGGGAGGAATCTCGTTTAGGTTAAACGGACAGGCGAGCGAGGCTCCCGAGATCGCGCGTGGAGGTTAGGTCGGCGCGTCGCGGAGGTTAGGAATGAGCGCGGTGCATGACGGAGCCGCGCCAAGGGGGAGAACCACGTAGACTCCGCCGCGTCTCTTCGTCCAACCGCCACTCGTCGCGTCGCGTCGACGTTCGGGCTCGCCGGGTTTCGTAGACCGAGTTCGCGGCGGGAGCGAGCGACGAGGCAGCATGTACACGTTCAAGCCGTTCGTGTTCACCAAGCACAGGGCGAACGGGCCGGAGCGGCCGAAGGCGCGTAGCGGCCACCGCATCGCGTGCGACCATCGGTATCTGTACTCGTACGGCGGCTTCAATCCGTGCGTGGCCGACACCGACCCGGACATGCGCGACGACCGCACATGGATCGCCAGCAAGCCGCTGTTCAAGGAGCTGTGGCGCTTCAACCTGGTGAGCGAGCGCTGGAAGCGGCTGCCCGGCCAGGAGGACATGCCGAACGAGCTGGCGTCGAATGCGGTGATACTGCGCGGCAACGCGCTCATGGTCTACGGCGGCACCGGCGTGCCATTCGGTGAATGCTGCAGCAATCAGCTGTACGTCTGCAACGTGGACAACGGCGCGATGGAGGTCGTGCCGGCCACGGGCGAGCTACCCGAGCCCCAGTACGGACAGGTAATCCGTCCTGGCTTTATTTCAATTTCTTGCAGGGACGCGACACAATGCGAGTCGTACTTTCTTATGCGTACACTTGTGGCTCAATCAAGTTTGTCTAGATCAGAGCAAGGCGAGATGGGTCACTTTGCAGCCTACTAGGGTACCTCAAGGGTGACGAGGAAAGCTATTGAAAACACATTTACGCTGCTGAGCCTCGAGCGAGGGACAGCGAGGTAAAGGGAATAGCGGCGGGCGGAGTCAACTGAACGGTGACCTATCTCGCCGAGTTATGGTCTAGATAAACCCTGCGACTTGTAGTTCTCGTTTCTGTTCACGTCCTTGTATGTATTCCTACATGAGACGGCGAGACTTGGAACAAGACGTTTAACCGTTGGTTGAATCATTGGTTTTGTTTAATGAGCTCTGATAGTTTAGAGTAACTTGTCCAACATACGGGAAACTTGTTGAAATAACAAGAAAAGACTCGGCCGAAAACTAAATGCTATGATGTCAATGTGTACGAACACTGGAGCATTGATTTGTTATCTCTTTCTATTGCTTAGACGCAAAGACTTATCGTTATTTATTTGTACAGGCGCTAGTGTGCCACGGTTCCTATCTCTATACAGTCGGTGGTACCACTGGTTACGAATACACCTGCGATATCCACCGATTCGATCTACGAAGAGGCGTCTGGGAGGTGGTGTACATTTGCTCGGGTAAGGACGAGTCGGAGCCACATGGAAGATACAGGCACGAGCTTGCTTTTGACGGCAAGATGATTTATGTTTTGGGTGGCGGCACCTCGACAGAATCCTATGGTTTCTCGGTGAGTGGGTAAACCTCGTAGAGATTTCGCTTGAAAGCGAGGAAAATAGTGCAACTTCACTTGCGTGACACACACGTTATTGTTATATCGCTACATTATAGTAAAATGTGGTAGTACCTGATAATTATTAATATACTGAGCTTTCTATTGTTTTCTTCTGTTTCCTCATATAACATTTGTGATTAATTCTATCAGGAAATACCGGCGTTCGACTTGAGGACCAACAGTTGGAGGATCTTGAGCACCCACGGCGATACCGAGGAGACCACGGTGCCGGCGCCACGACGCTGTCACGGTTCCGTTCAGTACACGGACGAGAAGAGCGGCGCCACCTCGGTCGTTATATCGGGCGGTTACAACGGCGACTGGGTGTTCTCCGACGTTTGGCGTCTCGACCTCGGCACGTTGCAGTGGACGCGCCTGAGGGAGTGCATTCTACCGTGCCCGGTGTACTTCCACTCGGCCGCGCTGATACCAGAGGGTCGCATGTACATATTCGGCGGTATAGTCAAAATGAACAACAAGGTCATTATCCCAGAGCGGTCGCGACATTGTTCCGCGGATATTTCATTCGGCGCACTTTCGTCGATTCGTAATCGCCGACTACTTTATATTGTTACAGGTGCAGAGGACAAACGCGGTACACTCCGCTTGGCTGACGATTCCCAAATTGTCCGAGATCTGTTGGCAAGCGTTGAACCATTATTACCCAGACTTGAAGGACTGTTCGCGGGATGAGCTACTTCACATGGGAATACCATTAAAATTCGTACAAAGACTTGATTTCTACTGGTGAACGATCAGTTTCCTCGAGACACCATCGAATCCTTGAATCAGATTGTCTCTTGCGCTGCACGCGCTTGGAAGCGTCTGCTCATGCTTCGTGCATTTTGATTCGTGACTTTTGACGCGGTTTTTTTTTTACAATCTCTATTACGCAGTAGCGGTAATGGTAAAAAGAATTTAAACAATCATGCTATTTATTGCATCCGTGATTAACAACGCGAACTATTTGTAAAGTAATACATTTTCCTCTTACTCAAATTTGCTTTCATTTAACTTATCGAATACATTATTTACCTAATATTAACAACTGATGCATCTGTTTTAAGAATGTACAAAGATAATAGTACTGATTAAAAAAATGATAACATGTAAAGAGTTACGTATCTAAGGATATAGTTCATTATATCGTATTTAATGTTATGTACAGTATATTAATTCTGCCTTTACTCTCTCTCTAACGCTGTACATGATATACAGATATATTATTATATTTACTTACATAAGTATGTGCTGTATTTCTTTAAGGATGTTAGAATTAGAGATCATCGACTCACACTGCACGACGATGAGATATTTCTAAATGTTTAACTAAAGACGAGCGCGAATAATAGGAGGAATGGTGTTACTAATTGTGTGTTTTGTCTCAAAGAGATTGTTGAACGTAATATTTGTCCGCAGTGCCTATTAATTAAAGTGATGCTCGTTTGTTGAATCAAAAACCTCGAGGGTCTTAGCGGTTGCATAAACAATCTTCGTTATTCTTTTCCATTACGCCCTAAATTTCGCATCAAAGGGAAAAGTGTGTTTAGAGCAAAATTTCGGTTTTAAATTTTTTATTCTTCGCGATGTACATCTACAATACATCTAATATGCATATACAATGATAGATTCAGCCCATTTGCTCAGCCTTGTATGTCATGAATATTGGTTTCTTTATGGATATTTTTCACGATATTAATTTAACACTTTTAACTCGATCGTTTCTCCCTTTTAAACAAGATCTATGCACCTTTTTATTCTTTGTATCGCTTTTTTCTTATTGAATCATTTTACTCCGCTTTTTAATTAATGTTATTCTGTTTATTAAGATGTGTATCATGGGACTTTGCATTTTGATTGTTCTGATATAAGGTTAAACTTCACGGACGAACGACCCTCTAATTATTCTGAGCAATATACCACGCATCGTAATTACGCAATAGATTCTCGGTGCTGCTTACTCAAGACATTAGCTGTATATTAGCTGATATTCACTAATAGAGAGACAGAGAAAGATGAGAGAGAGAGAGAGAAATATTGTAAATACAAAGGGAAAAGAGGAATACAGAAGAATCAAATCTTACAATTCGGGGGATTTTATTTCACGAGTCCACATTGTAACGAAAAGATTCCCTAATCCTTGCGAAGAAAGTGTCAAGAGATTTCAAGAAAATTGCACAAGTGCTAACAATCAAATTAGTTGAGGAACGAAAAGAAGATAATCGTGACTCTCCAACGTTTGTATCGGTTTTGTTAACTTTTTAATTTACCACGATTTAATCGGAATAAATTAGAATCTCCTCCAAGAGAAAATCGATGCAACTTGTTTCTCGTCGAGTGTGTTAGATTTGTATCGGTTTGTTAACTTTTTAACTTACCACGATTTAATCGGAATAAATTAAAGTCGCCTCCAAGGGAAAGTCGATGTAACTTGTTTCTCGTCGAGTGTGTTAGATTATTTAAGAGATTAAAATAAGAAATATATTTGCACAATAGATAGTAAGAATACAAGATACATAAAAGAAATTTGTATATTTCGTGATATTTTAATATCTGAAAATACCACGTGATTTTTTAGTAAATCGAAGAGATACGGGCGGAGGGGGGCAAAGAAATGTGCAAAGAAGTGTTTTACGTATCTTTTAGGTCTATTTCGCGCTGTCGGGAGGCGGATAAAATAGGGAAAACTCAGCGGAGCGTGCTATCTGTACCAAGGGCATTATTTTTATCGCGGTCGCGCGAACGGGGCCGATAAAGGCGTTCGTTGATTTTTCTCCCATCGAGGTATTTTCCAAAGTTTAAATAGCCGCGGCGTGGGGACGCCGGGTGAAATATATAAGGACGACGCCCGCCACGCTCAGATCTTCTCGTGGTCTCGCGACAGGGAGTCGCGAAGTGTGCTTCCTCTCGTGAAACGTGAGGAACAATTTCGGTAAGCATAATACAATCCCCGGTATCGTCAACGCGAACAAGCGCGAATCGTCACCGACGTCAAACCGCGCGACATCTTCAGTATTTAAAGATTTTTATTTCCACTCGCTTCGATACGTTTCAACGTAATTCACATAGAGCTCGAGTGGATAATTACCGAGGTTGGGAAAGTTACTTTATAAAAGTATCTAGTTACAGTCACAGTTTCTTTTCGCTAAGAATGTAACTATTCACAGTGACAAGTTATAAATTTTGAAAAGTAACGCGTTACATTTACGCAAAAAGCAACGAGTCGTTACTTTACAGTTACTTCCTTGCAATGAAAATAAATCTGCATTTGTATCGTAAAGCGTCGATAAAGGCGTTTATGCGCAAATGCAAGGCCGGATGCGATGTATGGAGGTTTAAAATATATAAAGTAACTATTAAATTAGTTACACATAGCACGTAATATTACATTTTCGATGTAATTGACTCCCAATCAATTCTTACATTTTAAAGATCATCTTAAATGCCTCTTGCAATATTTCTTATCCAGAAAAATGGTCTGCGCAACGCTTACGCCCATCATCTTTTGACTAAATACTCTTTAAACATGTTAAATATAACAACTGACTATAAACAAGCCTCAGTGTGCACTAGCGCAAGCACCCGAATTCACTATTACAGTTACCACAAAAAAAAAGGTCACTGTAACTGTAACCTCGCTACAAGCAACGAGTTACTTCCCAACCCTGAATTAATTACGTATCGGTAAGGACATTCGAGAACGTTTCGAAAGGCATTGACTTCGTACAGCTGGTAGGTTTCCACTCTTTCGTCACCGTCTCTTTTCAAAGCCTTCCGAGAACGCGCGGGCGACGAGCGGCGAATCGGGCGCGCTTTGAATTTGGCGCGGCGCGCGCAGCATCGTGACGCGACTGACGCGAGCCGCGCTGCCTGCGCAGCTCACTTCAGATGCCTCCGAGCCACGGTACGGGGCGGACGCGTGTCGTTTGTCGGGCGCCGAGAGCTGAGGTCTGTGCGGTGCCGTGTTTTCCTCTCCCCTCGCCCCCGCGCGCTCCTGAAAAAGGGACGGTCGTCCCGCGGTGAGAGGAAGGTCCCCGCGAATATTCGAGTCGATCGCCGGAGTGGCTCGCGCCTCTCGCGAGGCCCGTGTCTCGCTCTCGTTTCGTCGTCGTTTCCTCCTCCTCCTCCTCCCCCCATCTCCCCTCCCCCCCCCTCGCTCCAAATGCGTCGTCCGAGCACGCGGTCGAGCACGCGCCGACCCGAGATGCGCCACCAGGTATTTATGTAGTACCGACCACCGCCGCCTCCGAGCGTCGCACACTCGCCACCCTCGGCGTCTTCCGTCGTCACGTCG